GCAGTGGTTGAGAGTTTCCCTAGCGCAGACATTTAGAAGGGATACCGCTGGGGTGGGATGCGCATATCTTCAGCTTCAACTAGGTATCGCAAGAGTGCTTTCCAAGATGGTTCTATGCACTTGTATTTCCTCCAGTCATGTCCAAGTTCCCATCTCCCCACATCCTCAACAGAAGTCAGTGTTAACTGTGAGCAACCTCATGGCTATGAGATACTATTTCATTGTAGTCTAAATTTGTTTTTCTTTGATAAATAATGAAATTAAGTATCTATTAACTTTCTGTGAATTACCTATTCATATTCTTGTTCATTTTTCTATTGGATTGTTTGTCTTTGTCTTATTGATATATAGGATTTGTAATATATTCTGGATAGCAATTGCAGAAGAATGAGGCTTTCATTGTGATTAAAATTAATCTGTTAGACCATTTAGATGGACCAATTTCATTTTAATATCACTGAACCTTAGAAAAGTTTTGTAAAACTTTTATTTTACTTCTATCCTGAGTTTAAGCCTTGTTCCTCAATATCGCACACACATTTCTCTTACCTATTCTAATATACCTTGATCTCTCTCTCTACCTATCTCTTTATCTCATAGAGAAACAATGCAGCATCATGATTAAGAAAACAAGACAGGATCTGAGCAAAACTGACATTTAGTTTTGAATCTCAGCTCTATAGCTTCCTAGGCATATCACAACAGGCACTTTATATAACTTCTCTTTCCCACAGTATTTTCATCTGTTAAATTTAGAAAATAATAGTAACTACCTCAAAGAGTTATAATAAAGACAGAACACTTAGCATAAGGCTTGGCACAGAGTAAGCACCCTCTGTTAGCTATCATTGTTATTCTATAAAATATTTTAAAATTATAATATTATTTAAAAGTGCAGTTTTAAATTTCAATTTAAATTATATATAATAAGGATATCAAAAATAAATGCTCATAGCCTCAAAGTACCTCCTCCAAATACTTAATTACCGTGCTGATTAGAACATAGTACCACAAATTCTTTTATACTTTGACCCCAAGAGGTGAAGCTTAATTTCCACCTCTTAAGTATGAGATGAATTCAGTGACTTCTTTCGAACAAATAGGGTATGCAAAGGAAAATAGTCACTTTATAGTGGAACAACATGGCTGATACCACTTTAACCAGATGACAAGGTTAACTTCCTCAGGAATAAGTAACATTGATACTATGTGCCCCCATATTGTGCAATAAGCAGGGCCTTTCTGTGATGGTTTTTAAAGCTTATAACAGTCTATTAATGAGAAAACATCAAACAAATCCAAACTGAGAGACTGTCTACAGAATATCTAACCAATACTCATCAGAAGTGTCAAGGCCCAGAAAACTGAGAAACAATCACAGATTGAGGTGCCTACAGAGATATGACAAGTAAATAGAATATGATTCTCAGTGGAATCTTGGAACAGAAGAAGGGTTGTAGTGGGAAAAAAGACTGCAGTTTAGTGTATAATGTTGTGCTAGTGTTAATGTCTAAGTTTTGATAAATGAACCATGGTTATAAAAAATGCTCACATTAGAGAAGCTGATTAAAGGGCATATGGGAACACTGTGCAATCTTTGCAATTCCTCCAAAAATCCAAAATTATTTTAGAATAAAAAGTTTTAAAAGTGAATGCCCATAATATACTATTGGACTATTGTTATGATGAATCAAGATCATTTATAGTTAGACAAACTATATATATAGATAGCCCACGCATGAGGAGATTATATATACTTATTTTTTTTAAGTTTAGGAACTCATATATTTGGAATTAAATTTACTGGGTATACCTTGCTGTGATTATTAACACAACATGAATTATCTAGAAAGATGTACCCCTTGGAGGATATTTAGCATTTAGCTAAGTTTCTTCTAAGTGATAAGAGAGAGAATATAGACAAATGAAAATTGATTTTTCAATTTTTTCAATATTCTATTTAAGTATTATCTATGACTGAAAAATGAACCAGACACATTAAAATTACTTAATTATTAAATTTTCTTTTATTCCTAGCTGTTAAGGTGCTGAAGCTTTTATTTCTGCAAAAATGTTTATATGAATGTAGATATTACTGTTACTTTGGAGTTGTATTCGTCCAAGCTGACAAAAAAATCAGTTAAGGACCCAGAAAATCTAAGTTAACAACAAAGTACAATGCAGTCAACATTGATACTAGAATGTGTCAGAGAAAAAAACTAATCTACCTAGAAAATTCAAGTGGAATAATTTTATAAGATCACAGAATATTGTCTGAGAATCATAGAAACCCAATTTAAAAGACTTAAATTATTTACAAAAAAAATTCACTTACAAACTTATGCTTATATTTATATATTTTCAAATATCAACTTGGATAATTATAAATTACATAAGAAAATATAAGAAATTTAGAAAAATTTACCCATTTCAATCTTTGTGCAAAATTCAAAATTTTCACTAATTACAGTTTTATACTTGTAACCTATTTTTGAATAGTTGTAATTCACTATCACCTCAGGGATAAAAAGCATATATAGTCAAATATTTTAAACTCAAACTGGTAAATTCAATAAGCTACATATGTCTTAATTAAAAATAGTAGAGAAAGAAATCTATCACACTTCTTTTTCTTCAGTCTGAAAGTTCTAGTGGTAAAAGACTCTCAAATGGAAAGGATTTTCAGTTTGTAATCTTAACCTGGAGTTTAATTTTTCTTCAAAGTGTGGCAACTGGAGTAGGTTTTATTCAGACTATCTTACCTTTAGCTAGAAATGGTTTCAAGCAAAAGGAAAAAAATCTTTTCAGTTTTAATATATAAAACTTGAAGACTGCTAATGACTACTATTTTTTGGCATGATGTTAGTTTTAACGTATTTGTTTATTACCTCTAATCAAGCTTACACTAACCAAGCTAATACTAACCAAGCTACTATTTCTGAGTCAGATCCTTTCCTACTTTTCCTTATCAGAATGTTTCTGTAGACAAGAAAAGGAGCTATGCTGAAAAGCAGGACCATGTGTTAGTTTAAAATAGAGTTCACATTCATAGTAACAACTCCAGGTTGTTTTCCATAATTATATTTAGATATATTGCTTTTTCTTCACTAAATTTCATGTGTTTTATAAAACAAAAATTTAATAAGTGAGAAAATATTTAATTTTCAGCTCAGAGGGAATCTTTTCTGATAGAAAATTGTTTTATGATCCAATTCTCTGGGCATTAATTTTTTAACTCGAGTATGCAGTTGCTTAGATCACATTTTTCAAAAGTTGGTTTTCTCAAAAGTCTCCATCTTACCTCTAAGAGCAAGATCAGTTAACATCTGCTGTGGGGGTAGGGAATAGCTCAATGGTAGAGCACATGCCTACCATGCATGAGGTCCTGGGTTCAATCCCCAGCACCTCCATCAAAAAAAAAGTAAATATATCCAGAGGGAACCTTAATTCAAAAAGACACCTGCACCCCAATGTTCATAGCAGCACCATTTACAATAGCCAAGATGTGAAAACAACCTAAATGTCCATCAACAGATGACTGGATAAAGAAGTTGTGGTATATTTATATAATGGAATACTACTCAGCCATAAAAAATAATAAAATAATGCCATTTGCAGCAGCATGGATGAATCTGGAGAATGTCATTCTAAGTGAAGTAATCCAGAAAGAAAGAAAAATAGCACATGATATCACTTATATGTGGAATCTAAAAAAAGAAAGACAACAAACTTATTTACAAAACAGAAACAAACTCAGGTATAGAAAACAAACTTATGGTTACGAGGGAGTAAAGAGGTGGGTAGGGATAAATTGGGAGTTTAAGGTTTGCAGATACTAACTACTGTATATAAAATAGATAAACAACAAGTTTGTACTGTATAGCACAGGGAACCATATTCAATATCTTGCAGTAACCTATGGTGAAGAAGAATATGAGAATGAATATATGTGTGTTCCTATGTGACTGAAGTATTGTGCTGTACACCAGAAATTGACACAACATTGTAAACTGTATTTCTATAAAAATATATTTTTAAAAAGTAAATAATTAAGTAAACCTAATTACCTCTCCTCTGCAAAAATAAATAAATGAATAAATAAATATATAAAAAAAGAAAAAATATCTGCTCTGATAGCAGACCCAAAGGAGATGAGGAGAGTGAGTTAACCAAACTTTCAATTTACTAAAAAAAAATATATATATATATATATAAAAATATATATATCAATGCCTTGTTGATATCTTGATTACCCCTGGAGGGTAAATTCCCTGTCTTAAAATTCCCTGGCCTCCCCTTCCTTGGCCATGAAGCATATATAAGAAACAGTGGTTCTAAGAAATTTCAGTGCACTTGGGGTTGATACTCAGGAATATCATTTTCATATAATGCATGAAATTATTTAATGTTTATATACTCTTAACATAATAAGAGATTGTTGTCTTTTCCTTATTCAGCATATTTATTGCTGAAAACCACCTGCTTTCATCAAACTGCGGGATTTGTTGGATACTACATTGAATGTTAACATCCAGAAATGTGGTTTTATGATGTCAGTACACACAGCATTTTTCCCCTTTATAAATCTGCTCATAAATTTCATAGCAATTGAGTGTACTTGTGTGTGCATGTGTGTGAGTGAGTGTGTGCATGTTGGAGGGTGATATTTAATCGGAACCAAATGTCTGAACAGGAATTGAGATCTTAGCCCAGTCACAGATCGACACTTACCTTTCCTTTCTGGATGGCTGTTTTCACCCAGAGTTCAAAAGAGAAAACCCACTCCAAAGGAGAGTGCTGGGCAGCTCCTTAAATGTAACATTGTTGTCTTTTATCTGAGAACTAATTTTTTAGCAATGGAGTCCACACTGAGAATCTGGTTAACCAGAATTGCCCACAGACGTTGGGAAATAACCATTTTGGTCAGCAGGCAATTTTGGGATTCTCTCATTTGTGGCTTTGTAAGTCAGCTCATTCCAAAAAAAAAAAAAATTATACAACCCCTCCATAACCATTTAATGCTCTGGTCAGATTAATACCTTATTCTATACAGATAAAAAAGGCTGAGAGGACAGCTGCTCATCTTTTACTTCTCACAATCTGTAGATCAGAATCTTCGTTCATTGGAATATAAAGTCCTCTAACATTGCTTCTATAGCTTATTTTAAAAATCCTTCTCTAACTCAAGGTCATAAATACATTTATATTTTCTTCTAAAAGTTTCAAAGATTGCATTTGGCATTCTTTTTTGTGAATGCTGTGAGGTGAGGAACCACTTTTGTTTTAAACAAATAGATAACTTTTTTCATCTTCCTTTCCTCACTGGTGTACAAAGCTGTCGTCTTTGTAATGTGTCCGTGTTCCATATTTATAGGTGTCAATTTCTGAGTTCTCTTCTCTGTTCTATTGATCTATTTGTCTCTCACTGTATTTGTCAATACCACACTGTCTTAATTATTATAAATTTGTGATAATTCTGAGACTCTGTTTAGCAAGTCTCCCCTCTTTATTCTTTTTTTTAAAAAATAAGGGTCTTGGCTATCCTCGGCCCTTTTCCATTATCAGTTTTAGATTCAACTTGTCAAGTTCCATGGAAATCACAATTAAAAGTTTGGTTGAATTGTAAATCAACTATACTTCAATAAAAAATTAATAAATTTCAAAAAGTTTTGGTTTAGACATCTTCAAACCTATAAATCAATTTGAGGAAAGCATATCTTTAGGATTTGAAATCTTTTATATCACTTAGGATTTTATCTTTAAAATAATTACCATTTATTGATTGCTTTTTATGGGTCATTGTATCATGTTACATAATTTTTATAATAACTCTATGTTGTAGACAATATATACAATTTTCAAGAGTGAAGAATTCTTGGATAATTTGCCCCAACCCACAAGGCTAAGCAGTGCATGAATAGGGATTCACTACTGTGTCAATCTTGGTCCAGGCTCATGCTCTTAACAATTTTTCAATACACCTTTTCCACATTTTGTGAGAACTTCTAGCTAAGACCTGTATTATGAAGTGTGGCAGTGGAAATTTCCCTGGAAAGAAGAAATATGCACTATCCTCTCTAACTACCTTGAGAACATAGCATTGCTTCGCTAAAGTATTTTTTACTGATTTTTAAAAATAGTCTGTATTCTTTTGCTAAGACTTCTGTAACTAAGTACCATAAACTGGGTGACTTAATTTATTGCCTCACAGTTCCAGTGGTTAGAAGTACAAGATCAAGGTGTCAGCAATATTTGTTCCTTCTGAGGGCTATGAGCGAGGATCTGTTCCATAATTTTTGCTTAGATTTTGACAGTTTGACATTTTTTGGCTTGTGGAAGCAACACCTCCATTTCTTCCTTCATGTTCACTTAGCATTTCTCCCATGTATATCTCTGTTTCTCTGTCCAAATTTTCCCCTTTTATAGGGAAAGCAGTTACATTGGATTAAGTGCCACCTTACTCCAGTATGACTTTATCTTAACTAATTATGTTTGTAGGGACCCTGTATCCAAATGAATTCATACTCTGAGGTATTCGAGGTTAGGACTTCAATATATGGATTGGGAAGGAATGGCCACAATTCAACCCATTTTGTTGTCCTTGCAGAAAATTGGTGCTACTTAGAAAAAAGTTTTGAAAGTAAATATAACTTTGTAAAATTATGCTAATTATTATATTTTTCACAAGTGGAAGAAGGCAGTGGCAAATTATCAATAAATAGAGCAATCACTGGGGAAAAGTTTTAAAGAAGTCAGTGTTGCACAATTATTTCCTATGGAGTCACTCATTGTACCTCAATCCTTGTCCTCTAAGTGATGTATGAGACCAGGAAAGGCCCATGAGTCAAAAGGAGAAGCTCTCTTCTCTACACTCCAGTCATGCTGTTTATTTGTATCTGTCCCTTCTGAGTCTCAAAGAGCTTTCATACAAATGACTGTTCATCCTTGTATCCTAGCACCTGGCACAGTGCTCAGTATCAAGTGCTCAATGAATATCACTTCTTTCCTCTCACCAAGAGCACCCTAAGAAGAGTGCATGAACTAATTTGAAGTGTGCTAACCTCAGCCACCCAGACTCCACTTATCACTTGGAGAAGTGAAGTGGTGAGGACAATAGAAACCTATACTATTTGAGTTAGATAAAACACAGTTTATCAACAAAATGTTACATGCCACCATTGTTTCTAACCATCTATTGACAGGTTTCTTTTTTGGGAGAAAGGGGGATTAAGGTGAAAAAATTTCTTCCAGTAGATAAATGTACACACACACACACACACACATCTCTATCTACCTATCTATCTATCTATCTTCAAGTCACTAGCCAAGTGGAGTCTCTGATAATAAATACATGTTGTTGTATCTGGGTCAACCCTTCAGGGAGAGTGGAACAATCAATTAATCAACTAAAAGAAGAGATACTCGGTTTGCTAAGGTTAGCTTAATTGATCCATAAGGCATATTTTTAAAAGTTTTTAGCAATATTTTCTATTTGTGATCACTTTCATTGTTCTTACCTTCACTCGCTCTCTGATATCCAAGTATTTAAAAGTTATTACACAGCCATTATCCAAATCTAACATCTAGGTGATTAAACTGTGTCAAAAGAAGGAGATAAAGAAATCATAGTGAAGGAAACAGAGCAGACCTGGCTTAACTAGGGTGAAGATGCCAACACGATGACTTAGAGACACATCTCACATACATGCCACAAATGACAAGACTTCCCAGAAAATTCATAAGAAGTAGAACTGTCCTTTCAACTAATTCTGTTAGCCTACTCAGGAGCACATCTTTTCTTTGATTGTTTTTGGCCAATCAACTTACTTTAAGGGGAAAAAAAAGGAGAAAACAACAAGAGTTTGTTGACTGCAGTTGCTCCGCATCCTCACCTAGACTTGGAATTGTCTGTCTTTTTAATTTTAGCCATTCTGATGGCTGGGCTTATTGTTCACCTGCACAGTTGCATTGGTACTTAGATGGATCTCCAATTGCTTAGTTTCTGAATCTTTATATTTCAGAGAACTATTGTTATTTTTGTTCTTTTTCTTTCTTCTTCTTCTTCTTCTTCTTCTTCTTTTTTTTTTTTTAGTGGAGGTATTGGAGATTGAATCCAGGACTTCATGCATGTAAGCATGCACTCTTCCACTGAGCTACACCCTCCTCCCTACTGCTATTGATTTTCATTCTACTCCTCTATTAAGTTCCACTTGCCCCTTGGGTCAGAAATGTTGTTAATTTTGTGTCTTTCTGGAATAGAATATTAGTTATCGTCCATTCTTCCTCCAATTTCTTTGCCATCACTGATGAATAAGGGGGCTACTTCCTAAAGTAGCAGTTTGGTTATGGATCAGTGATGCAAATTTTAGTAACTCTGGTCACCTGAATATGTTCTTTGGAAATGATCTGCTAG